CACATTGTCATGTGAATAAAGCTGTGTCCACTGTCCATGACAAGGCCAGATCCAGGTGCTGCCTCCCCGGGGTCCTCTAAACACACAGGTGCACAGTCCTCTGTCTCTTTGACCTTGACATAAAAACAGCTGCTGGCTTCCTGTTTGCACAACAGAGAGTTCAAAGATCTAAGGAGAGGACCAGACTTCCCAAACAAGTACAGGAAGGAGAAAGACTGGGACCATCATTCTGCCTGACCTCATGTCCTCTGAGCAAATGCAAGTGAGGAAACAGTTCTAGTCTTTTCTCTACAGTCATCTCACACACACACACACACACACACACACACACACACACACACACACACACACACAGCTTGATTTTAAGTGGATGACTCTGGTCTTTAGGGGACCACCCCATTTATCTTTTTCATTTGCATTATTTGTATGGGGAGGAGACACATGCCATGGCAAACATGAGGAGGTTGGAGAATCATGTGGGTTTCTAGGATCAGACCCAAGTTCTTGGATTTGTGGCAGGAGCCTTTACCTGGAGAGCCATCTCATCATCTCACCAACCATATATATATATATATATATATATATATATATATATATATATATATATATATATATATATATATATAATAATCTCTTTCTCTGTGTGCAGGGTAGGGGGCATGCAGGTATATGTGGGTGCGTATACACAACTGTGTGCATATGGAGGTCAGTCCTCTGCCTCTCACCTTGTCTGAGACAGGGTCTCTTGTTACTAGTCAGTCTGTGTACCAAGCCTGCTAGGCTGTGGGCTTCTAAGATCCCCCTGTTCCTGTTTCCCATTTCCTTAGAGGAACACTGGGAATATAGATGCACACACTACCACACCCAGTTTTATGTGGGTCCTGGGGATCTACACTCGGGACTTTGCCCACACCCCAGGCGTTTTACCCACTGAGCCATCCCCTAGGTTCATCTGCTTATTTTTTAATGAGAATTGACGGTTGCTTATGGAAAGGATGTCATTAATAATCTTCCCTTCTCATAGACAGGGTTAATAGTGCATCCCATGGGATGGGCAGGTGACTGCAAAGGGAGGAGGATTCAGGAAAGACAAGTAGGATGATGGAGAACTGGACAGCACTCCTCTTCGAATTGAGAAGGAGCAAACCCATAAGCAGGGGACACGGGCTTCTCTCCTGTCTAAGTGGGAACGGAAGGGCCAGGTACACAGCAACAGGAACCTGTGGAGGCAAAAGCAATGATGCCTGGTGCTAGAAAGACAGCTCGGCTTCCAAGAGGAAACTCTGCTCTTGCAGAGGACCTGAGCTTGGTTCCTGGAACCCACATCAGGTGTGTCACCACCGCCTGGAACTCCAGTTTTCTTCTGGCCTCCAAAGGCATCTGCATTCTCTCTCTGTCTCTCTCCCTCCCTCCCCCTCTCCCTCACACACAAAGATAAATACTAATTTAAACGTATATGCATTGACATACTTAAACTATCTATTTACATGAACTAGGGCATGCACCTGTGATCTCATCACATGGACGGCTGAGGCAGAAAGAGTGAATGTTTGAGGCTACCACAGGCGATGTAGAGAGACCCTGTCTCAAAAAACAAAAACAAAAACCAACAAACAAAAAAGAACAAAACTTGTCTCAAAACAAAAGAACAAAGCAAGTTCTGTCCCATACAGCAGAAACTAAAAGCAGCCCCCACGATACGGCAGCCGTTATCTTACGTGGGCCTGAGATTCCACTACTTCAGGTGCCATTAAACCATTCCTAACTCAGTAGCTAAGACAGAAGATGAAACAAAAGCCAAGCCCGACCTACATAAACACTGTTTCCATGAGCAAATCAGAAAGATGTTGTTTGTCGTCTCCGCTCAACCCCATCGCAAACGACCTGACAAGCAGCAAGTGAAGGAGACAGCTAACCAGAGCCGCCGGCAGCCCCTCCAGAGAAGCCCCACAATGGGGCTGCCGGCGGCTCTTTTTTCACAGAAAATAAAAGGCGATCATATTAAGCACAAGGATGGGGAATTCACAGAGTCTGAACTGTCCCTTTGAAACGCGGTCACTTTCAACGCACACGGCCTCTGTGTGTTCGGTGCTTCCCAGCGGTGCTGTGGTTCACCTGGAGACGGGCACACACCTGATTAACAACCAGCAGGGCAGCTAGGAATTCCACTGAGCTCCCACCAGTGAGCTAGTGAGCTTCTGGGGATGTCAGCCTACGTCTCCTACAGGAAGGAAATGAAGAGATTGAAGACGTAATGCTTTAAGAGTCTTAAAACGCTTTTCCTGCACAGCTTAGCCTGGTGCGCCCCTGGCTGCCTTCTGCCTCGTGTTGCATATATTAGTTACATTTCTGCTGCAATGAAGACGCCATTTCCAAAAGCAACTGAGAGGAGAGAAGGGTTGGCATTAGCTGACAGGTCCATCATGGCAGGGGAGGCACGGAGACAGGAGCGTGAGGGCCTCGTGGCAACCAGGAAAGAGGACTTGTCGCATGTCATTTGCATACAGGAGGCAGATAGTGAGAATAGGAAATGGTCAGGCTATGAAGCCCCAAAGCTTTAGCCTAGAGATGGACCTCACTGGGGGAAGCTCTACCTCCATGACGTTCCCAAACAGTAGGGATATGTGGGTCCGTGGGGGACATCTCTCATTCAAACCACCACTCTTAGGAGGATCTTAAACAAGGAGGCACCGTTGGTGCAGCCCCATGAGTGAGTGTTGCGATTTGGATGCATCCCATGGAGTACCACATAGCAAAGGCTCGGCTGCCAGCTGCAAGCTTTGAGGGAAGTGACAGGATCCTCAGGGCGCTGACCTTGTCAATAGATTCATAATCGAACAGCATTGTTTGGAGCTGTTGTAAGCGTCTCTGGAGATCAGGCACAGCTGGAGAAAGTAAACTGGCAGAGGAGTATTCATGGATACTATGTCTTACACCCAAACTCAGGCTGTTTGTCATTTCCTTCTCTCAACTCTGTGTCCCGACTGCCATGACAGTGAGCAGCCTCCTCCTCCAATACTCCTGCCACAATGATGCTTTTCCTCACCTCAGACCCAAAGCAAGGGAGCCAGTGAACCACAGGCCACAGGTGTCGGAACTGGAAAGCAGGCTGTCTCTCTCAGGTGTTTGTCAAGGCAACATAAGAATCTGACACAGTGGGAAGCTGTGTGATTCCATAGATGTGGAGAAGAACTGTTCATTGCCTTAGGGTCTTGGGGCCTGTGATGGGGAAGGGAAGGATAGGTCCTAAGCGAGGCTCCAGTGTAAGCATGAGTTTTCTGGCCCACCAGGGTCCCACCGCACACATACACGCTATATTAATTATAAAAGTGTTGGCCAGTGGCTTGGGCTTCTTATTGGCTAGCTCTGTCTTAATCGTTAACCCATTTTTATTAATCTATGTATTTCCACGTGGCCTTGGCTTGCCGGAGAACACCTTGCACGTCCTCTCTTCCCAGGCTCTACATGACAACTCCATCTGCCTACATTTCCCAGAATTCTCCTCATCTCATAGCCCTGTCTATACTTCCTACGTGGCCAATCAGTCAATCAATCAGTGTTTCATTCATCAACAAGTAAGAGAAACATATATACAGAAGGACAACCCCTATCACTCCAGTGATCCATCTTCCAAAGATACAGGTCAGTCATTCTTAAGATGGTATCACCTCGGCCTAACATGGTGACCATACCTTTAATCTCAGCACTTAGAAAACAGAGGCAGATGGAGTTCCAGGCTAGCCTGGGTTGTATATTGAAACTCCCATCTTAAAAACAAACAATAAAGGCACCACTTCTAGAGAGAATGGTCTGGACCCCATTCCATACATGTGTGTCACTGGTATGGCATAGTGTGGGTACATGGAAGATCTGACCAGAGGCCAGGTCAGTGTCACTCTAAAGAGTCAAGAGAAGGAAAATGGGGAGGAGGTGCAGCTGGCCCTGGTAATGCCCAGGGATCCTTCTAGATGGAACCTGCACTTAGGTGGTCTTCCTATCTTACCAAGAGAAGGGCCTTGCATTCTTCAGTGGAAACCATCTGAGGGTGTAGTTTCTACTCTTGATTCCTGTTCACATGAGGGTAGCCAGGCAACCTGGCTATGAGTGGAAATGTTCTTTGCCACAGCTCAAAGACCTCTCTGGGAAATCTAGAGAGAAGTAGAAAATGTTGAGGGTAGACTGTATACAAATAGCCTTTCAGAGTAGGAAAACTACTCCTAGGAGGGTTGTCACCATGGAAGTCACCTAAACGCTGAACAAGAAACCAGAGTAGGTAAGAACCCAGAACTCCAGCTACACATGAACTGCCTGCTCAGCTTTCCTCCCGTTGCTGACTGAAGGCATCGTGAGGAGACAAAGGTTTACCTGGCTTATGCTTATGAGGGACTCTCCTACACTGATAATCAGGAAAACACCCCACAGTTCACTCTGATGGATGAAACTCCTCAGTTGGGGTTCCCTTAGTGATTCTGGGCTATGTCATGTTGACAGCTGTAGCTAACTAGGGCGCTGCTAACCAGGGAACCACCTCAGACTTAGTTCTGGAATGCTGTGAAGGAGGCCAGGCTACAGTAAGGGGCTTGGCTGGCAGCTAGCAGGGGCATCTTAGTTGCTGCAGGCAAGCGTCTTCTCCATCAGTTATTTCTGCCTCCGCCCTTGGCTTGTTTTTTCCCAGTGCTGTTCTTTGGCTCATGACATTGCTTCCATGGTTTATTAAAAACGGAGATAAACTACCTGATAAATCTGTCTTAAGTTTTCCCCTCCTTTTCAAACCCCTTCAGTAATTGCCAGAGTCACAAGCGTGTGTCCTTCCCACAGTGGGAGGCTCGCAAGCAGCTGGTGTGTTCCTGGAAGCACATAGCTAGAGACAATAAAAGGAAAGTCTTTAATGGTGCAGAGACCTCCCACTCCCGGTACTAAATTTACTCGCTTTGGTTTGATTTAAAGACAGAAGTCGAGCAACACCTGGGCAGACCTCCAGCTGCAACACACCTGTCTCCAAACAAGTTTCTTTCCTCCTTACTCCTATGCCTGATAGAAGAAGCTTAAAAGAGGAAGGACTTCCTCTGGGTTACACTTTGAGGTTACAGTCCGTCATGGTCCAGAAGGCACAGCTGTGGGAGCAGCTTGTGGCTACAGCAGCCCCAAGTGTGAGCCTAGTTCCTTGAATCTCCATGGACCAGGAAGCACAGGCAGAAGAGGAAGCAGCCACACTCCTAGCGTGAGTATGCACTTGATGTGAAAGCCCAAAGTCGACATGGGATGTCTTCCTTAATTGCTCTCTACTTTGTTGAGGTGGGGACTTCTGCTGAACCCAGCGCTTGATGAGTCCTCTTCTGGTAACTAGCCAGCTTATTCCTGGCATCTCCCTGTCTACCTCTTGGGTGCTAGAATTATAGGCAGCTGCTGCCTGACCTTTTTAATTAAGATTTATTTTTCATTATTTTTAATTGTGTGCTTGGTTGTGGGAACACACACATGAGTGCAGGTGCCTGCAGAGACCAGAGGTACCACATTATCTGGAGCTGGAGTTACAGATGGTTGAGAGCCGCCAAATATGGGTGCTGGGAACAGAACTTGAATCCCCTGTAGGAGAAGTTTGTACTCTTCACCACTCAGCTCTCCAGCCCCATGTCTGGCTTTTTACATGGGTTTTGGGGGATTTGAATCCCACTACTCTAGTTTTCATGGCAGACTCTTTTTCCATTCAGCCATCGCTCCAGCTCAGAACATCTGTTCTAAAGTCCCTTACCCTCCTCGAATACACACACTCCTGTGCCCACCTCTCATCTGATTTCTGAAAGTCATCGACTCACAGGAATTTGGAGTTTGAGTGGAGCTCAGGCCTTCCTCCCTGTCACTCCATATTGTTATGGACTCAGGACTATACAGGTTAAAGGGTTCATCACCTGACTCTAACTGTCCCCATCAGATGGCTTACAGTTCACAGATAAATTTACTTTGCACCTATCTTAGTCAAGGTCTCTATTGCTGTGAAGAGAGACCATGACCACCACAGCAACTCTTTTTTTTTTCTTGGATTTTCGAAACAGGGTTTCCCTGTGTAGCCCTGGCTGTCCTAGAGCTAGCTCTTGTAGACCAGGCTGGTCTCAAACTCAGAGATCCGCCTGCCTCTGCTTCCTGAGTGTTGGAACTAAAGGCGTGAGCCGCCACCGCCTGGCTGACCATGGCAACTCTTATAAAGGAAAACATTTAATTGGGGCTGGCTTACAGTTCAGAGGTTTAGTCCATTATTGTCATGGCAGAAAGCAGACAGACATGGTGCTAGAGAAGGAACCAAGAGTTACACATCCATATTGGCAGGCAGCAGGAAAAGAAAGACACACTGGGCCTGGCTTGAGCATCTGAAACCTCAGAGCCCACCCCTAGTGACACACTTCTTTTGACAAGGCCACACCCACTCCACCAAGGCCACATCGTCTAATAGTACCACTCCCTGTGAGTCTATGAGTTCCGTTTTCATTCAAACCATTACAGCACTCGAGTGGTTGAAATATTCCCCCTTAAAACTTCTCTCATTCAAAGGGACTCTTTATTTTTTAAAAAATTAGCATTTTCTTTATCTCACTTGAAAAGTCAGTAATTCCGTTCATAGGTAATTTGAAAGGCAAACCACATGCCTATCTTTGAACTGGACATGGTAGTATATGTCTACAACCCCAGCTCTGGGGGTGGGCAGACAAGACAGGTGGAAGTTTAGGGTCAGCCATATCTGGCTACATAGTGACTTCCAGGACAGCCTGAGCTCTTCGAGACTCAAGACAAGAGTAAACATATCTGTGGGCCAGAGGCAGCCAGTATCTTCACCTCTTGAATAGTCCTTCCTGTAAGAGTCCATGCAGATACACACTTCATTTTTCTTTTTTGCACAAATGCTTTTCCACTCATCCATACCTACATGTCCAGGGTCTTTCTGTGTTGGCCAACACACCTCTAACTAGTGTGTCTCTAGGCATTAGGCAGAGCACATCACCTGCTACTGCTGCTGCGAAGAATAGTCACTGGTTAGGTTGGGCTGATGGGATGGTGAGCTCCAGGCATCTACCCATCTCCATTTTCTGAGCACTGGGACTACAATGCCTGCCACTGTGCCTGGATTTTAACATACATGCTGAAGATCAAGTTCAGGCCATTATGCTCACATAGCAACCACTCTACTCAATAGAGCCACCCCTCCAGCACCCACCTTATGTTTAAGGAATAATATCTACTGACTCAAGTCACTTGGAACTTGACAGACCCGGAGTTATGTGTATTCATGGCACACAGAACTGACCTGGAGGAGCTTAGGACCCAGTGAGAAACCTCCTCAACTGGATTTAATTACTTCTGTAAGGCAACATCACCATAGTGCCAAGTGAGCTATCATGAGTTCCATATCTAGAGAAAATAACGAAAATGTCAACGGATGCTGTATTAAAAGGTGATTTTTAAATTCATTTAACTTCCATAAAAAAAGATACAGTGATTGATTTTTCAAATTTTATAAAGAAAAAAGATAGCATTTTAATGTCCTGGGTTATTGGAATAGATCACTAATTTTCAATTTTCAATACATAAAAGCTGAAATCTAAATGAGCTCTGAAACACACCTACATTTGCCTCAGCCCACAGGCCATAAAAATACCATTTACAGTTGGAAAAATAATCTTCATAGCACAATAATAGCCAAGTTTATTTGTTTACTGACACTCTGTTAAAGACATTATTTTAATGTCGGTGACAAATGACTTCAAAAGTAAAGGTCTTTCTCCCAGACAACTCCAGTCTACAATGCCACAGTTTGGAAAAGCTGGCCAAGGGCTCTAGGGCGGGCAGGATGATAAGGCAGGCTCTGGCAGAGTTTCTGCAATGAGGAGGCTGAGTCTGAGCCTGACTTGCTTGCAACATCCAGCACTCACTAGGAAGAGTGCTGTGAGGCCTCTGCCATCTCAGCCCCAGGGTGGTCTGAAACCACTGAAGGACTGTCTGCCTTTATTCTAGTTTTCAAAGCCTTTCTTTGAAGGAGTTCTGTTCTAGCTGGGTAAAAGCTCCCTGTACCAACCCTACCTCCAATGGTCCTGGTATTGGCATCCGTAGATCCAAGTTTGTACTAATAACCAGCAACCTTGGGACTGGAAAGGGAGTAAGGAATGAGTATGGCTCAGAGGTTAAAATAAGCTCACTGCTCTCCCAGAGAATGTAAGTTCAGATCCCAGCACCCATATCAGCTGGCTTCCTTTAACTCTAGTTCCAGGTCCAACACCCTCTTCTGGACTCTCAGAGACCCCCCCCCCGACATACACACACACACACACACATACAAAGCCCCTTAGGATCCTGTAATTTGCACACCACCTCTAAGCTTCCTTTCCATCTCTCCCACTATACTATCATTTACTGTTGAGTTTCTTTAAGGTGTCTTCAGCAATTTTGGGGGCAGAGCTGGACACAGGACCCAGGCTTCTCATGTGTGAGGCAAATGTTCCACTACTATGCTACACCCCCAGATCTTGTAGTTAATGTTTTTATTTTGAGACAAGGTCTCCCTAAATTGCCTAAATTTGGCTTTGAACTTGTGATCATCTGCCTCAGCCTCCTGACTAGCTGAGTTGATACGTGTGCACCCTAGAACCAGCTACAGGAACCACCGTCTAAACTAGCTTAGAGCAGTGAAATAGATTAAGTTCAGTCATAGGGTTAACATGTTATATTAGCCATGTGCTTTCCCTACTATTTGTTAAAATTTGCAGTGCCTGCACCATGAGCAAATCTAATGAATCGGGGGAAAGCCTGAAGGTTTAAATGAAAGACAGGACGTAGAAGTTGAGGTACCCATTTTCAATTCACCTTCATAAATCCGTACTTGCTGGCCAGCCTCACAGGGTGATCTCTCAGGGTCCCCTTTCATTCCCAATCTCAGTGGGACCTCCACTTGCCATGAGCAAGTCTAATGTATCGGGGGAAATTTAAATGAAAGACAAGACATCCGACCGTTTGTGTTGAGAGAATGCGTGCATGTATGTGTGCGTGTGTGTGTGCATGCGTGTGTGTGCGTGCATGCGTGCGTGTATTGCAAGGAGGGAGCATACTTATATACAGACTTACAGCACAGTAGAAAAACCCCAGGTGTAAGAGATCGTGTTTTCATAATTAGAGGTTGATGCCAGTGGGGCAAAGATGGAGTTGTAAGCCAGGACTAGAAAACAGGATGCACCTGTGGTTATTGGCTGACAAGCAACTCACAGAGACCCAGTGGGGCCTGGGGCCCAACAAAAATATGTACACCTTCTTTTATGATCCCACGTACATCTCCCCCACAGAAACCAACCTCCACTGGGAAACTGGTTCAGAAAACTAGTAGCTATTAAATAAATGTCCAAGAATGTTGAGTGGGGTTTAGAGAAATAAATCCACTAGTCAGACCTTGGAAGGCAACCATGTCTGTGATCTTCATCTCTGCAGTGCTCCAGGACCCATGTCTGTGATCTTCATCTCTGCAGTGCTCCAGGACCCATGTCTGTGATCTTCATCTCTGCAGTGCTCCAGGACCCACGTCTGTGATCTTCATCTCTGTAGTGCTCCAGGACCCATGTCTGTGATCTTCATCCCTCTGGTCAAGTGCTCAGGAGACAAACAGTGGCACTGTTACCTGGCCTGTCTCACTTAATCTCTGCTTCCTCCCCAGGAAGCCAGGATGCCAGGCAATTAATTGTAAATCAAAGCCCCTATCTGGGGCCTCAGGCTACCCACATAAGTTCAGATCTCCTCCTGCCTTTTCCAAATATGCTTTCTGTAGGAGGTGACTTTGAAATTGAAGCCATAAAAAACTGGACAGAAATAGACCCCCTCAGCTCCTTAAGGATGAGATTACATGGAGGGAGCAGGCACCACCCCGTCCTTCATTTAGGAATGCCCGCCACCCTACATACACTTGAGGTGGCCCTATGCTAACCTTCTTTCTTTACATATGTTTGGGGGTCTTATGAGAATTTCATATGTGTGTATATTTACATAATTCCCAACCCATCTGTCCCACTCCAATTCTTCCTGTGTTCCCTAATTCCATCTCAATCATCTTTAAGTTAAACTTTTAAAAATTTCAAGTATATTGTTTATATGTACATTGAGTGCATTCCTCACTGTCCTGCTCCCCACCCTCCCTTTCTTCTCTCTTCCCATTTATGCCCCGTGTTTACCTGAAAACTTTACTTCCGCTTTGTGTGTGTGTGTGTGTGTGTGTGTGTGATTTTATCTATAGAAAACCCAGGAGCCCTAAATGAGGGGAAACCCACTGCTTGTCTTTCTGAGGCTGGGTTGATTGTCTTAGCTGCACCTGGTAGCAACACACCTCCATTCTTCTCGATTCTAGAAGCTTCCGCTGTGTGTGTACACACATGTCCTTTCCATTCCTCTGCTGTTGACCACCAGGGTTGGCTCTGTACTCAGCTACTGTGAAAAGTGTTGCAAAGAATGTTGCTGCCCAATACCTCTGTGGCACATGAACAGCACTCTGTTTCTCCTCCAGGGGATAAAATGTCGCACCCCAGGACAACTTCTGGGAGACTTTCCTGTGGACTCATCACCAGCAGCTGTAAAAGGAGGGACCGGGCACACTGTCCACCACAGTTCACCCGGCATCTGCTCAGGTGCACATCAGAACAGCTGCTCAATGAGCACCTGTTTGTGTGGATAAATGATTGAAGCTGGTTTCTTCACTGCAAGGCTCTCAGTAGTAATGGACTTTATCCATCTCCAAGGGAATAACAAAGTAGTTGCAGTCCTTAAACCAACCTGTGTCTCTGTAGATACACTGTCAGTGTTCTGGGAGCAGGAGAGACTATTTGGAAAGGCCTGTGGTGCACACAGGCGAGAAGGGACAGTCTTCCTGGGCACTGAGGTACTGCAGAGATCCGGGGAAGATAGCAGGATGAGTCCTCACTGTCAAAGGTCCTTGTCAAAGAGATGCTGGGTCCAATGGTTACATCATCACTGTGAGCAGACTGTTCATGGGCCTGGGGCGATGCTCAGCCAGCAAAGGGCCTGCCACACAGGCGTGGGAGTTATATGGTCACTGTTCAATCCCTAACACCCACATTAAGAATAAGTTAGCAGTGACAAAGAACAACTGTAACCCCAGCTCCGGGGCAGGGGAGACAGGAAGACCCTGGAATTTGCTGCCAGCCTGTCTAGCCGAATGCCTGCGCTCTAGGTTCAGACAGGAACCCTACCTCAAAAAAACAAGGTGGAGAACAGTTGAGGAAGGCACCCAACATTGACCTCTCTGGCCTTCTCAGAATACTTTGGAACACATACACACACACACACACACACACACACACACACACACACACACACACACACACACACACACACCTTAAAGATAAAACAAAGCAAAGAGAGAAAGGGGGCTTATTTGGGCTCCTGTTTTGGTGGGAGGACTCTGTCCACCATGGTGGGAAAGCCATGGAATAGATAGTGACATGCTCTCATGAGCATGGTTTGTTCACATCTCAGTAGTGACTGGGAAGCAGAGAGATACTGAAAACAGTGCTCTGTTATAAAACTCAAGGCCCACCCTGCAGAAGCCCTCTTTCTCCAGAGAGGCACCGCAGCCTCCCCAAATTGCACTGCCAGCTAGGGGCCAAGTGCTCAAACGCATGAGCCTGTGGGGACAATTTATACCCAGACCATAGAACAAAGTGGCATTGTCTTGTAATCATGTCACTACCTAAACCTTGGCAAGAGGATACATAGATGCATCAGTGAAAACAACCAGGGGGATGGCAGGCTTCAGTAGGATGGAAAGGGGCTCGTGGTCCCACAGGTACCTCCAGCTAGGAGCAGCAGTGTGCTTATAAAGTCATACCACATTCATCCGAAAGTTCCCTGTAACTCCTGCACAGAGGACGTGCGACAGAGTTGCCCATCATACCAGCCATGAAAAAGACAGAAACAAATTACCATCAAGGGATCTCACAAAGCAAAGATCTTCTGGTTAGTATTGTTGGGAACAAACCACCCCTAAACGTGGTGGCATAAAGGGGTAACAATAACTTCCTTGGTTTACAAGCCTGCCACTCCTGTGGGACTCTGAGGGAGGGTCATCATTCCGTGCGTTCAGCTGGAGCAGTCACCTGGGGGCTGCAACAGTCCTTTGGAGGTACTGACCCAGAGAACTGGAAGCCAAGGCCACACTGAGGATTCTGCTGAGACCTCAACTCCTCTCCTAGGAAGAACTCCAAGGACAGTGAGTCTTTCAAAGGTCAATGCCCTGAGTCAGCCATGGAGCTCCATGGCCTTACCTTTTGTAGCCTTGGAGTCCCAGAACATCATTTTTTAGTGTCTGTTAACAGAGGTCATTACAAGCAGACCCAGATTGCTAGGGAAGGAGGTGGATTTCAATGCTAGGGCCTCTGGAAAAATCCCGGAGAGTGTGAAGGAGGGGAGCTTGTCAGAACCGCCTTGGAGAAACAAGATGTGCCACAGAAGATGCACTGTTTACACGTCCTCTGCGGCCAACGACCCGACAGAGACTTCAGAAACTTCAAGGAATTTGGGTTTGTTTCGGCTCACAGTTCCCGAGGGCTCATCTGCGGCTGCTTGACCCCACGGTCTTGGGTGGGGTGGCAGGTGAAGCGTTTCCTATGAGAAAGTCATTCGCGTCACAGAGGACGGGAACCAGAGGAAGCGACGCTGGAACCTGAGATGGCCATCTCCTAAAGTCTCCAGTAGCCTAGGGTTCAAACCATGAGCCTGCAGGGGTGTCTCATTCAAGCCACAAAGAAAGAAAACACAGAAAGGAAACATTTTTACTTTAAAAAATGAATAAAACATATTTGATACTGAAAGTATCAAATTAATATGAAGATCATGGCTTCCACTAAACACACCTCTAACTGTAGATAAATTCATTAAATTGGACAAGTTTTGAGTCTGGCTAATTTTAGTGTCTGTTGCTTTTATTTATTCAAAAGATTTTTTATAATTAAATTGTTTTTTAAAAGGAGTTATTTTTCTAAAAGACAAAACTTGGCATGCTTTTGCTTTTACATATATATATTATTGTGTGGTTGCATACACATATACCATGTGTGCGATATCTTTGGAGATCAAAGACCACTAGGTTTACCGCGATACTCAACCCTCACCTCCAGTCTCCTAGACACACGCTCCCACTGCCTTCCCGCCCCCTCTCTCTTCCAGTTTCTCCTAACCCACTGAGTCTCATGTGTACAGCCTCCCAGAACACTGGCCAATCAGTTCTGTTGGCTTGATATTCTGTGGGTAGCCAAAGCAGATGAGCGTTCATGTCACGCCCAGGGGACAGCATCTTACAAGCCTCCTCCCCATCCTCCCACTCTTACACTGTCTCTGCCTTATGCCCCCAAATGCCCTGTAAGCCTTGGGGGAGTTGACACAGATGTCCCATTAGGCCTGAGCACTCAACAGTCACTTATTCTTAGACTTTTGCTACCCACTGCTGACCTGACGCTTCTCTGGCCAAGGTCAAGAGCAGCACCAGTCTATAGGTAGAAGCATGAATGTTTGAAGGCAGTGTGGCAGCATGACCATTCAGTGGAACAGTAGAAGGGGGTTCCCAAGAATGGGCCAGCACTGGCATCCATGCCATACATTGCAGACACAGGGAACACAGTCTTGGCACAAACACAGGACCAGATTTCAAGGTGTAGTACAGGGCCCTCAAGCAACAATATTATCTGTCTGGTTCTGGAAGGCCATCCTTGTAGCTGCTGCTAGACCATAAAAATGATCCCATATTTGGGAACTCTGGCTGGAGGACAGTTTAGTCGGCAAAGTGCTTGCCTTGCAAGAGTGAGGTCCTGAATTCAATCCCCTGAACCCGCATTTTAGACTCCCAGCACAGCAGCCTGCATGCAATTCCACACTGTCCAAACAAAGACAGGCAAATCCATGGTCAGCCAGCCTAGTTGGCAAGCTCTAGGTTCAGTGAGAGACTCTGTCTCAAAAAACAGAATGGGTAGTGCCTGAGGAACACACACATACACACACACACACACACACACACACACACACGCACGCATGCACGCATGCACGCACGCACGCAAACGGTGAGCTGGTAAGTATAGACAGAAACTTCAGAAGCCACACATGGTTTGCCACATCCTTTCTCCTTCTCTTCAACATCAATGATGCTTCAGATAGAAGCTACTGCCCTCGATGAGCCCTGGAGCCACGATGCCACGATACGATGTTGTAGCCAGCTGTCAGTGGGCTAGGGAAGTGGCTCAGTGGCCGAAATCACTTGCCACACAATCATGAGGAGCTGAATCCGAATCCTCACCACCCACATAAGAGCCAAATAACGTTCCTGTGATCTAGTGTGCAAAGGAGAGAAGGAAGGCAGAGACAGGGCAGCCCGGGGCAGCTTGTGTGCCAGCAAACCTGGCATACTCGGGAGAAAAAGCAACAGAGGAACCTTGTATCAAACAAAACAAAAGGTGAGAACTGACCCGCCCCAAGTTGTCTTCTGATCTCCATGTGGCATGTGATTGCATGAGCTTGCATGCACACACACGCAAACATGCACACGCACATTCACACTGTGTATACAAAGAAAAAATATATCGTAGCCCTTGCATGCCATTAGGATGCGAGGCCTTCTGCCATCACAGCAAAATCCAGTCTATAGCAGCTGATACGAAGCACACAGCTTATTCGCTCATTTTCAAAAAGCTAGATGATAGCAACACAGGACTGGAGAAAATACTTGGATTTTTTCCCCTGTATTCCTCTCTTTACACCCCACTGCTAAAGGCAATGCTTTTGAAGCATCTTTTTTTATTGTTTGTTTTCTCATAAGCTAGCATGATTTAGGGAAAAATGCTGTGGTTTTTATATTCCGAATAGAATATTTTTCAAAGGCAAAATACAGGCATCTTGATTTTACAGTCCAGAACTTCTGTGATGGAGTGTACACTTTACAGCCCTGCCGTGACAGATTCCTCCTTGGAAATCCTTTCTTAAAATATATATCCTGCAAGGCTCTATGTTTTCATCAATCATTTTCCATTATGTGCCTAATTCTTTCCCTCTTTGCTCTTTTGTAAATCTTTTATTGTGG